TGCGGGCGGGGGGGGAGTCTTGACCCCTCCCCCTACCCCTTCCCGTGGACCTGAACGAGGCGCCCCGCGAGCGGTCAGGGCGTCCAAGACGGCCTCGGCGAGGAAGCCAAAACCATTGGTTTTACCAAGGCTTTGGCCCCATGTTGGCCTCTTGGGGGGGCGGCGCTAATTAAGGACCCCTCCTTTTGTGATCGATGTCCTCCAATATGGCCCCAAGAAGCGCCCAGGAGACCCCAAGAGGCCCCAAGATGGCCCCAAAATGGCTTCAAAAGTCCCCAAGAGGCCCCCAAGAGGACCCCAAGCGGCCCCAAGAGGCCCCCCCAAGGCACCCAAGACGCACAAGAGTTCCCCAGGATCGCCAAGGGACCGCCAGGACATTCCAAGAGGCCTCCAAGAAACGCCCAAGATATACCCCAAGAGGTTCTGGAGAGGCATCCATGAGACCTCTGGCCCTTTTGCTTGCCCTCCTCCTCCTGCTCCTTCTGTTCCTCCTCCTCCTTCTGTTCCTCATCATCCTCCTTCTCTTGTTCCTCCTCCTCCTCCTCCTCATCATCATCATCATCATATCAACATCATATCATCATCAGCATCATCAGCATCAGCATCAGCATCAGCATCAGCATCAGCATCATCATCATCATCATCATCATCATCATCATCATCATCATCATCATCAGCATCAGCATCAGCATCAGCATCATCATCATTATCATCCTCATCAGCATATTCATACTCATGTTCCTTGTTTCCACTCCCTCATCCATCCAGCCAGCCTCCTTCTCCTCTTCCCTCCTCCGCACGGTCGGGCCGTCCCCATCTTTGCTCCCACACTTCCCTGATCACGCCTGAAAAGTTGAATTCCCCACGGCTGCAAATCACTGTGTCCGCCTTCCGAGAGACAGTCACTAGTCGGGCTCCGGTTTCACTGAAACACATTGCATCCCAGTGGGTTTCCGCAGCTTCGCCAAGCAACTGCGACGGGCGTGCGCCCCCTGAAGTTCGCACGTTTTTCGCGAAAAAAAGAAAACGTGACATTGCAAAGGTGGGTGTTGCATGCATTGATCGATCGGTGTTGTCCCTGCTCTCGGGCTTTGGACCTCCCCTCGCCGCCTATTTTGCCAGCCAGACCAGGGCCGCATTCTACTTTGAAAGCCTTCCCGCCGATGAGCGCCTGGGCCACCACATCACCGCCCAGCCAAACCTTCCCCACTTCAGGATCAGCCCGAACTCATGTCGCCTCGAACCCGCAATTCTTGAAGATGGATTCCAACCCGAACGCGAAAGAACTGAGGACTCCCTTTTCCAGCGTCTGGTCTGGTTTCGCCCACGCGCGGTTGCCCCCCTCTCTGAAATGTGCTTTCTGACATGGGTGAAGCGCCTCGTCGCGGTCCCTGGTATTCGAGAATTTGGCGAAAGCCACTCTTCGAACATCGCTTTTCAGGTATACGTCGCCGGGTTGTGGGCCGCACGCGCCCCACAACTTCGCCTTCATCCATGTCTGCACCTCTCACGGGGCCAGTGTCTGCAGCCCGCCGATCACGAGCGTTTTCGCCACCTCGGAGCTCGCAGAGTTCACGGGGCGGGCAAACTTCAGCATCGAGACCTCCACCTTCAGCGCCTTGATCTGGTCCCAGAGCTCCTTGGCGCTCAGGTCAGGTCGGTGCGTATCCTGCGCGTCGACATGACGTTCGATGTTCGTGATGCGCATATCCGTCTCCTCGATCCTCTCCTCCATGCTGCTGACCCTCTCCTCCACCGACTTCATCTGTGACCCAAACGCACCCTCGAACTGACCGAAACGGCTCTCGAGCTTGACAATCGCTGTCCGGGGTGGCCGAACCTCCTGTCTGAGAGATTTTGCAATCTCCTCAAATGCTGGCGGTCGTGCAGCCGCAAATGCATCCGCAGGTGTATCTGGTGTCGCGATGTCGTGCATCTCCACGATGGGCACACCGTCGTCCATCTTGTGCAGGGGGGCTGAAGGGACGACGAGAAACGTTCCTTTCACCTCCCAGCATGGTACCTGGCGCCCATGTATGCCCCCCCGCCATTGCAGCGATCGGGAAGCACGACAAGAAACTACACCACACAACAATATCGAACAAATATCTACTGTCAGCCTTGTATCCCGCCCCAGGCGGTGGACGACGAAGTCGAAAGAGTTCACGCGGGACTCAGTCCCAGCCCGTTGCCACTTGGGTAGCAGCGACCCGTGAAGGCATGCAAGCCCACCTGGCCGGAGCCAGGGACTATCGCGCGCGGGCCGCGCGCGCGGGCGGGAGGGCGGCCCCTGCCCTCCTCCTGTGGAAATGTCCGCAACTCTGTGAAACAGCGATGGAAACGCAGGGCGGACCCATCGGCATAGGAACTTGAAAAGTAGTTAGGGCGCACATGTCCGCCCTACCCACGGAATCGCCCCGAAGAGGGCACATCTGGGGTCAAGGAAGGGCCAGAACTTCTGGGGACCGCGCGCTGGAAACGTTCAGCACCTGAACGTCTGGGTCACACATGTCCGACCCAATTCCAAATCGGAGCATCCACCAAAACACGGCGGATCCGGAGCCCCACGCGGGGGCCCGCCACCGCGCCCCACGCGGCCGCACCACGGGGCGGCGGCGCGCAGCGGCTCGGGAGCGCGGTCGCCAGCGGCAGCCCGCAGCGGCAGGGGCAGCCCGCGGCGGCCGCCGCGGCGCGCGCGGCCGGCGGCGGCCAGCGGCGGCCAGCGGCGGCCGGGCGGCGCGCGGCGGGGGGCGCAGACCGCGCAGCGGCGGCGGCGGCGGCAGCCGCCGGCGGCGGCGGCGGGGACCGCCCGTGGGGCCCCGCGACAGCCCCATCGCGCCCAGGTCGAGGCCGGCCAGGGGCGCCGGCGGCGGTCTCACCACGGTGGCACCGCCCCAAGCGCCATCGGAGCTCGGCGGCGCCACCATCGCCTTCGCCTCGCGGCGTCGGCCGTCCGTCGCCGTCGCCGTCGCCGTCGCCGTCGCCGTCGTCGTCGTCGTCGTCGTCGTCGTCGTCGTCGTCCATGGTCGTAAGCGTTCGCCGTCCGTCGTCCGCAGTCGTCGCTCGCAATCCGTCGTCAGGCGTCCGTCGACGTCGTCGTCGTCGTCGTCGTCGTCGTCGTCGTCGTCGTCGTCGTCGTCGTCGTCGTCGTCGCCTCCGCCGCCGCCGCCGCCGTCCATCGTCGGTCGTTTGTCGTCTGTCGTCGCCGGCGCTGGAGGGCGGCAAACGCTGCCTGCTGCCTGACATGCTATCGCAAACCCAAACGCAGGGTTCCGCGCGAACCGCGGACTGGGCCACCCTGAAGAAGGCACCTGCCTGGGCCAGGCCGAAAAGCTCGACTCGTCTCGAGCCCTGAAAGCTACAGGGGGCCTGCTATCTGTACAGGCAACTACGAATCCAGGTGCATCCTGCAATGGGTGCGTGTCCGCCACCGCGTTTGCAGCGGTTTGTGTGTGTGTGTTTCGTGTGTCGTGTGTGCGTGAGTGTGTATTGTGTGTGTGCTTACGTGTGTGTGTGTGTGTCTCCGGCATGTATTTGTGTGGCGACTTCCGCTCCCTGCAAAGCCGTATTTTGTGCCCCCTGGCGCATCCAGCCTAAGATTCGCCTTTCTTGGCCATTCCGATACCGGGATAGCGGCCGTCACTGGCCCCGCCCCCCTCCCCCTGGTGACGTCACGCTCCACGCCAGCAGCGTCCGGGAATGTTTGGAGATGCCCGAGGCCAAGTAGGAGCAGCACGTAAGTAAGTGGTGATCTGCACCACAACGCCTGCGTACACCGCAGTGCTCGCGTGCACCACAGCGCGCGTGTACACCGCAGCGCCTGCGTACACCGCAACAACCATGTGCAACGCAGCGCCTGTGAGTGCCTGCGTGCACCACAACGCCCGTGTACACCGCAGCAGCCGTCTGCAACACACCGCCTGTGTACACCACAACGCTCGCGTGCACCGCAGCGCCTGTGCACACCATGGCGCCTGAGTGCACCGCAGCGCCCGCGTGCGACACATCGCAGGTGTACACCACAGTGCTTGCGTTCGCAGGACAAGTAGAACGAGCATGAAGGTGAGGATTTGCTGCGGACAGCTAAACACCACGCCAAGGGACTGGTAATAATAGAATGCGACGTTCTTCCCTCCTCCGTCCTTTTCCTCCTCCTCCTCCTGCTCCTCGAAAACAATCGGAATGAAGGGTCGAACTAAACATGCTAAGCCGACCCATTGAAAGAAACCATCGAGAGCAATCGCCGGTAAATGAATTGGGTACGCCTGCCTGTCGAGCTTCATCGTCTGGTCCGTCGGTGCTGAGGTGCGCGAGCGGAGCTGGCTGGGCTCCACTCGCTCTCATGCTGCTGCTCGCTCCCCCATCCGCCCCCCCCGCCCCCTCGCAAATTACCCGCCACTCATCCCCATAGAGCTGGGACGGCCACCTGCAGGAGGGAGGTGCGAGGGACGAAGGACGATAAAGGGAAAGTCCCACTGGAGAGAGCATGGGGAGACCAAAAAGTACCGATACCGCTACTCCCAGGACGTTTTGACCAGGATTTCGAAGCGAATCCAGCGGTGGCGACGAGGGCCTCCCAAGAGGCTCAAAAGTGGGAAAACGGCCGAAGGGTAGAGGTATGGGTACCTTCTCCTCCTCTGAGAGCAAATGGATAGAGAGTTACGACGATCTCGTCATCGAAGAGTGTTCGCAGGGATATTCACGCAAGTTCGGCCCTGCAAATGGATAGCTGAAGGTGTCATCGATGCTTCGCCGCGTCTGTCGTCACGAACGCGTTGCTCCCCCCACCCGCCTCCCGCCGACCACGCCGAGCCCACACCCCACAAATCACATTACCATGCAAAGAAAAGCAGGAAGGATCGGGGAATGGACGTGTGGATGGGGCGGGGATTAAAAAGGAATCGAGCAAAACGGCGCGCTCGATCGCGTTCCTGGCAAATCGTCAAGATTTGGTTGGTGCCGAATCGCCGAGAGCGAGCGCGAGCGGCGCGCTTGTCATCATCCCCGGAGGGTCCCGGGCCCAAAAAGGCCCCAAGATGGCCCAAGAGTGTCCCAAGAGGCCCCCGAGACGGTCCAAGAGGGCCCCGAATCGCCGAACGATCGGTCTAAGACGCCCAAGATGGCCTCCAGACGGCCCAAGAGCCCTCCACGACGCAACAAGAAGCCTCCAAGAGCACTCCCAAGAGGGCCGCAAAGGTAAACATAATTGCTGTTCATACGTTTTGAACCATGTTGGCGTTCTCGCCTCTTCGGCTTCCCGACGCTCCAAGACGCTCTCAGAGGCATCCGAGATCGCCCCAAGACAAGCCAAGAGGCTCCAGAAGGGCCCGAAAACGGCGAAGATGACCCCAAGACGGCTCCAAGACGGCCCCCAAGACGGCTCCAAGAGGGTGCCCAAGACGGCGGACCCGAGCGGGCATGTCGAGCCTTCATCCCCGAGAGGCTCCCAGGAGGCCCTTAGAGGCCCCCAAGAGGCTCCAGGAGGCCTCAAGAGGCTCCCGCGAGGCCTCCAGGACGCCCCAAGAGGCCCCCAAGAGGCTCCCAAGAGACCCCCAAAACTAACCTCCAGAGGCCCCCGAGAGCGCTCCAAAGAGACACCAAGAAGCATCCCTGAGGACTCTGACCCACGTTAGCATCGTCGTCGTCGCCGCCGCCACCATCGTCATCGCCCCCATTCAGGGTCGGCGGCACTGGCATCAGGCATACGCAATACAGAGAGGCGCGGGCAGGGGAGGTTTCACGTCCCCTGCCCCCCCCTCCTCCGCCCCCCAGGCGCCCCCCAACCAGCACCCGCCCGAGCGCGGTGGTTGAATCGCACGGCAACGCAACTGGATACGCATCATGGAACCCGTGGGTTCAACAGATCCTCCCAGCCAGGGGTACTCGAATGTGCCAGGACCACGGCCAGATCCGCATTATATCGGTCCTCGAAATGGGCATCATAGCCGTTCCACCACGGTCATTAATTTCACGATGTCTTCATCGATGTCATTACATAGGTAATATGCTCTCCCCCAATGAACCGTGAACGGGACTCATTCCCTGCTGGTCGTCTAGTACCGCCATCATAGGCATCCACAGGGGTCATCATCATTCGGCGCCTCGTGCCCATTTCGAGACCATCAGACACGTTCGTTGTGGGAAGAAGGACCATCATATACCTTCGCATTTCATCTCCTTCGTAGAATGTAACATGTGGGATCATAGAATTCAGCAGTTGCTCCAGAGCCCAAGAGGATCAGGGGTCCGAGGCAGAGCAAAATGCGCGCGGGTCAAAGGGACAGCGAGGTGGTTTTGCCTCTTGCCAGTTTGGTAGAATGCTCAATGTCGTCGCCCCACTTCCTCCGCGCCTTTCCATGCGTCTGCTGTCCTAGTGACTGTTCGCTTTCTGCGGTGCCACATTGGCCTGCCTAGCATGACGTTCCCCAGGGGCGTGTTGCCGCGAGGTCGGCGGTAGCGGCGACACGCCTCGTTTGGGGTCCGCCGTGATTGGGGGGATTCGTGGTCAGCGCCAGGTCGGGATGTGTGGTAGGCGGGGCGGCTGTAGCTCTTGGACATCGCATGCGCCGCTCGCGGACCAAACACCCCCATGAACCTCGCGCCATACGTGCAGCGCGGGGGGAGGCGGACCGCTCACACATCCTACCATCATTAGGGGGGTGCGAAGTCCCTATGAGCGGGACGGGGTGGGCACAGAGGGGTCATCATGGGCAACTCGCACCCAACTCGAGACCATGAGAAAGGCTCGTTGTGGGAAGAAGAACCATCATAGACCTTCGCACTCATGAGATTCTTCAATGAAGTTCGGGGCTGGATACGCGCCATAGCGGTCCTCGAGGTGGGCAGCATAGCCGCTTCACCACGGTCAACAACTTCATTATGGTTTCATTGGTGCCGTTCCATGCGTAGCATGCTCTCCCTCCTGGGGTCATAACGCGCCAGTGCCCCGAGCGGCGTCCATCAGTGGCGACGAGGGCCCCCCCGAAGGCCGACTGCCGCTGTCTCAACTCGCTCCCCTCTGAGAGGGAGCGTACTTTGGTTGATTCCTGACCTACCACCGTGTCGAAAAATACACCCCAAACGATGCGACAAAAAGTATGACATTTCCGCCTCAGAGCACATGGGCGGTTTTTTCCGCAAGAACGAGGCGGAAACAGCGACGGCAAAGCGAGGTGGAATCCAGCATCAGAAGAGCCCGAAACGTAGCGGGCGGACAGTTCCGCCCAACTTGCGACATCGTCCAGAAAGTGCGGCGGATTCAGAATCTGACTACCTACCAAACCACCCCAACCCAACCCGAAGACCCGAATTTGACCCGAATTTCGGGTTGGGGGGGGTGCGGATACCATGTGTTTTTTCAACGTTCCCCGACCCCCCCCCCACTGGAAATGGAAGGCAAATTGAGGGCTTCGGGTTGGGTTGGGGTGGTTCGGTGGGTGGTGAAAATCAGGGTGGTGGTTCTTGGGCCACAGCTCCGCTCTCTGGCGGCCGTGTGTGGGA